CATACCTGAAAAGCCATTGACTTTAGAGCCAAAGAAATCTAGGAAGCTTGCTCAGTGAGAGGCAGCCAATCAGATACCGGGATTTTTAAAAGCGAGGCCCTGGTCCCGCCCACTGACTTTGATGGGTGAAGTTTACAGTTTAAATAATTTCATGACTTTGCTGCACAGAAACTATGAAATAAATAAATACAGAGTAAAACAATGTTTTATATGTTAATCAACTTAACAATTAAAAATAATAATTTTACATTGTTTAATTACTTAATGACAAATTTAATTATTTAATTCCATAATTCATTATTTACTGGTACATTTAATTGTCTAATGATGTATTAAATAGATAAATATACCATTTATTTATTTGTTTCATGCTACATTTAATTATTTGATGCTACATTAATTTTTTTTTTACATTTTTATCATTATCTCCTACAGTGGTCTGTCTTAAGGCAGATCTGAAGAAGCCTCTGGCTGATGAAAATCAAGGGATACCAATAAACACAACCAGCAGAGGATGTCACTAATATAATAAATAGTGAAACTCCACTTGTTCAACAGCATTAGGTCCTTCAAGGGTTGTTTCTCCATAGGGAATGTTGGTTTCCTGCAAGGTTGCAGTCAGGAGAATATTAGGAAGGAACTTAAGTTTGAGTCCAGTTCACAGATAGATTAAATATGCTGTCTGTAAAAGAATGTATCCTAAACTAAGTCTATCCCCTAACTGTGAAAACATAGAAAGAAAGTCCCAGCCACACTCAACGACCGTCATCCATCCTCGCCCCCATTTGTCCCTGAGCCATTTCAGGATTAGCTTTCCAGATCTGATCTGGCTCTTTGCTACAAAGAGAAGATTGTTCCGGATCACTTCACCGACATTCACAATGGATCTCAATGTGCAAAGCTCATTTCTGTGAACATGAGCAAGGAGAGAAGCGTCTCTGACCTCAGGGCAGGTTTTTTTGTCCTTCTGCAGCCACTGACAGAAAATAAGAAGTAATAGAGAGAGACGTCTCTGCAATGGACCATCTTTGAATTCAGTCCTTTACAAACATGAAATAAAAGTCCAGCATTATAATTCTGAACGGAGGCTTGGTAATAATAATATATAATGCTTTCATTATGTCTTATTAATTTCATATTGACTCAGCCTGGGTATCACTGAAATCAATTCGTCTTCATCTCTTTGGGGTAAAAATAAAAAAAATAAAAGGTGATCCAATTATCACACATTACAATGCAAACGTTATGGATCTTCAATGAAAACAGCGTCTTGAAAAATCATCGTTCTGCTTTAATCTTCCTCCAACAAACTCTGATGTACTTCAACTCTGAAGTATTTTATTGGGATTTTATTTGACAAACCAACACAAAGCCTAATCAAAGGAAAATAAAACATGATTTCCACTCATATGCTATTTTTTTACACACTGCATGAACAAATATGAATTAATATTTGTATTCCAGTTGTAGTATATAAGGTCATATGAGTCATTAGAGGCTATATATATATATATATATATATATATATATATATATATAT